GCTCCGCAACGGGAGAGGCCACAGCAGTGAGAGGCCCGCGTACCGCAAAAAAAACAAAAAAAAACACACACACAAAGGCCACCTCCTCGTCGCGTGGACATTCGTGGAAGGCGTTTACTCACATGCTCTATTCCCATCTGCTTCTCCCCTCCCGAGCCTGCGAGAGGGGCTCCAGGGCCCTCTCCCCCTCAGTCTGGCTGACCGAGAGCAAAACCCACCCAGCTGTTCTTCATACCCTCATCAGCAGGTGTTCCTTTGCCTGAGTCTAATCCAATGCCTCTCAAGCTTGAATTTGCATCAGAATCACCTGGGGGCTCGTTAAACAACGGACGCCAGAGTCCTACTTCCCTGAGAGTCTAGTTCAGCGGGGCAGAGTTGGAGCCCGATCATTTGCATTTCCATAGTCCCTGGGCCAGACCAAAACAGCAGCCCTCTGGACCGCCAGGACAAGGCAGTGCAGTGCGGATCTCTTCCTAACACGTCTGAGCACGTGATTTCTCATGAATAACAAAAGCCTGACCACACTTCACTGGTGGCTCAGCAAGTGGCAGTCCCCTTACCATCCTCTCTGGAGTGAGGGTGGGGAGTTTTTTGCATTAGAAATGGGAAATGGGTCCAGCAAGGGACTAACCCAACAAAGACAACCAACATGCCTTATACCAGGCATGCCCTGGGCCTTTCATTACATCCTTCGGGGATGGTGACATTTTAATCAGCTTGGACCCCTCAGCCATGCCTAACACAGGCATAGCAGGAAGGGGGAGTGATTTTAAACGTAGTCGTAATAGGTGTTTGGGGGCAGGCACCTCGGACAGAGAGGAACATCAGGAAAGGGGGAGTCTGATGTGTGGTTAAAAACCAAACACTGGGATTTAAGCTCTGGATGAGGGGAGAGGAGGGGGAAGCACCAGGAGAGAGGAGACACTGATCGTTTATTCCCCAGGGCCGTCTCTGCTCTGAGGAAGGGCATAATAACAGCTTGGCCTGTGGACTGGCTGAGTCCCTCCATTAGAGGACTAATACATAATAAAAATGGGTTTAATAGAAACGGTAGCAACTGTAACCGCTTAATCACCATGTCTCCCCTTAGAATAAGTTCACCAAATCTTTTGTTTTTTTAAAGCACAGAGCTCTCGGAGCTTCTGCCCTGGGAGGGGACGGCAGGAGAGGGAGCTGCTACAATTACCTCAATAAATCTGCCAGGAGCCAGATGCATTTTTATCACAAACATAATCGGGATCCAGATAACGGAACAGGCGAGCATTAGCCATCCGAGCACCATGGACCAGTTAGGGTAGCGGTAAGAGCCATAGGTCATGGGCTCCCACTGGTAAAAGCTGAAGCAAAGGATAAACTGGGAAGAAAAGAGAAACACACGCGTTAGGGTGGGGATGTGACGTATTCCTTCAGCAGTCATGTACTGGACGCCTGCTGTGAGTTGGCTGGCTTTTTGCCTATTATCTCATTTTACCCCAATAACGACCCTGAAAGGGAAGTATTATTACTTCATTTTCTAAATGAAGAAACTGGATTTCACAGAGATGAACGTGACACACACTGAGCCGCTGATGCTGCACTCGCCATCCCATAAAAACTGAGCAATGCATATGGGTGTCTATACAAACAGACTGGCTGAGAGGACGATTTTAAAGGCTATACACCGAGGTGACGGAGAGGTGGAGGCAGGAGAGGGGATGGTGGGTGTTTTTAAGGAGAGGGGTGTCTCTACTGTCTATAATGGATAATCAAGCTTTTGTTATAAGGAAAAAATCCATTAGATTAATGTGAAAAATCTACTTTGCTTTCACCTTGAATGGGGAAGAGCCCATCTGCAGGAGCTGCCTCTAAAGCCGGCTGAGAGGTCCCCAAGCAGTGGCTGAGCAGGAAGTCTGGTCCTATAATCAGCTGTGGGAAAAAGAGAGTGGAGGCCCAGCCCCACACCTCAACTGATGCGAGGTGAACGGGCCTCATCAGCAACCCATGAGCCGAGAGGCCGGGGACGGGCAGGCTAATCCCAGCTCTACCACTAATTGGCTGAGGGACCTGTATGTCTCAGACTTCTCTGCTATATAACAGATCCACTTCACACCAGGTATACAACACAGGGATTTTCTGGGAACAACAGTCTGGTATTTCCTCAGGAGCCCCCATCACTTTTAAGAGAGGTGATGATGCATTGTCTGCCCGTTTTCCCCCATCACCGCACACTTTGGCTGGCAACAGTGATGCAAACCCTCTGAGGTCTTGGTTAGTGCAGCTGAGGAGGAACAAAGCAACAGATATGCTGGAAAAAGAGGCACCGAAAAGGACAGAAGAGGGGTCCTAATGCTCCAGCCAAGCCTCTGCTGGGGGAGGGGGCACCGCCCTCAGAAAATTGAGTTCTTCCCTGTATTCATCCCGCCTATGGCAGCCTCCGCCTAGAACAGTGTACCTGCCTAAGTCCTTCCCTCCTCCTCAGCTCTCTCTGTCTTAAGCAGTAAAAGAACTGCCTGAAAATGATTAGAGGGAATTATGTCAGGCAAGATAATATATGGAAGTGTTTTGAGAAAGTGTGAAGCATTAGACAAATGTAAGGCATCTGTATGATTGCTGTAAAGCCCAGGCTGCCAGGGCAAGTGATTATTTCAATGCAACAGCAGTTCAATATATGGATTCGAAGCAACACGAGACTGAAGACAGTGGTTGAGAAAACTGCTCCTATAAGAGATATCTGCTCTAGGCCCCCTTTTAAATATTTGCCCCTAGAGCTATAAGCTTTATTAACCAGTCTATTGGAAGTATGGCCTAATGTAATTATGGTAAGTTGCTCCATTTCATTTACTACAAAAATAGCAATACATCTGCTTATGTGTGTGCATAATTCAGTAACGTGATCTGCCTATGTATACAATAATTGCACGCAGAATATTTATAGCTCTATAAATCCATGAAGGCACATATAAAAAGTATCAATTTTATTTCAGGGTTTTTGAAGTCATTTAAACCCATAATCTCAGCTCATTCTAGCCCACTACAAGATAGCCACGTTACAGAAGGGCAAATGGCAAAAAAAGAAGGGTTAGCCTTGGTCCTTTGATACCCATTTCCTATTACACAAATATCACATCAAATTTATCTGTGCAGACTTGGTCTTGCCATCAATTTCCCTCTGCCAAGTCAGGTTTGACAAAAACCCTGCCCTCAGATGAACCTGGCCATGAGAAAGGATAATTTAGCCACCGAGCCAGGGACCTCTCCACAGGTTTCTGAGGTGAGTTTGATAATGGAAATCGAGTCAAGCACAGCACAGTTGAGGAACTTTCTCAGAAAAACACAGCAAGTCCCTAGAATCCCTTTCCCCTCACTTTCTGCTCCTAAAGAAGATTAGGATTATTTTAATCCAGAATTGACCAAACTCCACTTGGAGATGAAAGCAACTAGGCTTTTAGAAATGTATTAGAAATGTATTTAGAAATGTATTATCTTGAAGCCTAGGTAGCCTTGGATTCCATTCTTATTCTGCCCCCTGCAAACTTTGTGGCCTTGGGCAAGCTCCTTAGCCTCTCCAAGCCTCAGCACAGGCAACTGTAAAATGGGGGAAGAATCACCCACCAATCAGAGTGGTTGGGAGCTTGAGAGACATAGTTAATAAAGCAGCTACCACAAGTCATCCTGCTGATTATTATTATGTGGTCTGCAGAATATAATAAGATTCTCTGAAGCTTAATCTCTTCCAAGACAGGAGGGAAAGGTCGGTAGACTCTGGAACAGATTCTAACTTTGATTCCACCCAAGAATAAATTGTGTGTAGTAGTAACTGAGGGACGTGGCAAAGCTCAGCAGAGATGGGGAACAGCGGGGAGGGGGGTCTTCCGTCTTCCTCCCAGGAGATGGGTAATTCTCCATCCTTCACACACACTTCAGTCCTGGATTCAAGAAACTGAAAAGTCTACCTTAGTCCTTTTCAACTCTCATGCCCCAAATCTGGTGGGACTTTTCAGACAAATTACAGCCTCTGAAATGTGAGTACAGATGTGGGCTTCTGTATGATGTCTTCCTGTCAATGCAGAGGGAGGTAAACGCTGAGTGGTTTTTATGTCTAAACTTCTGTCTTTTCAGAAAGAAATTGAGATGTTTTGATTAAAACTCACTCTGTGACAGTTTGGTTTTTATTTTTAAGGAAAATATATGTTTTCTCTACAATTTTACTGTCTTGTTTTCCTTTAAAGAAGCTGGTACAGCAGAGTAAAAGGGTCTTAATCTGGTTTCTAGTGCCACCTGCTGGGCCTAGAAGGAACTACAGCCAGCTTCCTGCAAGCCTTTGCCCAGATGACACCTACAAGCCAGGGAGGAAGAGAGGGAAAGGCAAGGTCTCTGTCAATTACTGTGCTTGGAGAGTAGATGGAGGCAAAGCCAGGAGCTGGGGCACAATAAAGGCGGTGACAGGATATGCCTGTAAGTCCCTATGCAGATTTACTGGCACATGAAGGGCTCTGATCTTTAAGAAGATGAATGTCAGATGATCTCAAAATGTCATCATCACACTTGAGGATGATAAGGTAGTCCCCAAAAGCAATTAAAATGAACAATAAAAGTCTAACTTTTGCTATACATATTAGTTGTAGAGTAGCTGTGTTGAGCACTGTTTAGGATTAAGTGTTCTGGAGCCAGACTGCCTGGGTTTGAAACCAGGCTGTTGCTTATTATAGTTGTACAATCCTAGGCAAGTCACGTAACCTCTGGATGTCAGTTTCCCCAACCGTAAAATGGAGATGATTATAATACCAACCCCTCAGAGCGGCTGTGAGGGAGAGATGAAGTGATACATATAAATCAGCAGCCCCCAACATTTTTGGCACCAGGACCCAGTTTCATGGAGAGCAATTTTTCCACAGATGGGGGTGATGGTTCAGGCAGTAATGCGGGTGATGGGGAGCCATGGGGAGCGGCAGATGAAGCTTTGCGCACTCACCCACCGCTCACCTCCTGCTGTGCGGCCCGCTTCCTAACAGGCCACAGACCGCTACCAGTCCTTGGCCCAGGGGTTGGGAACCCCTAATATAGAGCACTGTGCACAGAGAGTGGACCCCAGTTAGCACATGGGAAATGTGATCACGTGAGGCAGACAGATATAATGGGAAATGTTTCACAGGGATGCTCCAAACTGTGCATGCGTCCTAGCTCTGCACCCAATCAGTCAAGCACCTTTAGGCAAGGTGCTTCACCTCTTCACATCTGCATTTCCTCAGCTGAAAGACAAAAGTAATACTCATCCTACCAGCTCCGCAGGCTCATCTGTATGTAGGCACAGGTCTTGTTCAACATAAAGCATCACATATGCACTCAAGGTGCTACCCATGCAATAAAGCACACGGTCCTTACAGTTAAAATGGTTGGAGTAACAAACGCCCAGCAGACTTTCCAGAAAACGTTTGGCTGGAATCCAATCATCATCTCGATATCTTCACAGAACCTCTGCAGGCCTGCAAAGAGACCAACGGAGATCAAGCATGAGGTGCCATGGCAGGGGACGGCGTGAGAGCCCCTCACTTGAGTGCTGTTGGCTGGGATGGCCCCATCCTGGTGTCAACGTGACCCCTATTTATGCAGGAAACCATCAGACAAATGACTCGCTGCCGGGAAGATTAAGGCAAATGGGACATTTAAATAGATAGTAAACACCCTCTGCAGTGAAGTTCAAAGTGAGATGTCATCCCACCATGACAACTAAAAATCTCCATCCCGGCCTGCCCCAGGAGTCTCCACACTGCCACAGCCTGGCATAGTCACCCGTGCGGCTGCTTTTGGAGGTAGGCTCATGGGCTCAGCAACCAACTCTGACAAAGCCAATTAAGACTGTGATCGATAAGCACAGTGTGTTAGGAAAGCCTTGGGATTTTGAGGGAGACTCGCTGTATGTGGCTTTTTACCCCTCACCATCACAAGGACACTCTCCCATGAGTCAGTTTATCTCTGCTCTATGTAAGATGCTACAGGCAGGCAAAAACCAAAGTGAATGCCACGTGGCCATCACCCACTTTGTTGGAACTCAGAGGATTGCCATCTTCTCGGTCGCTGATCAACATAACTACGTAAAGTAAAAAGCAGACAAGAGAGTTATTCTCAGGACCCCACGTAACCGAAATCCACTCTCTGAAAGGAAAAGCGACAGAGGATGTTTGAGGAGGGAACGGTTTCCTGTATTGTTCCCTGCGCTCATCAGAAGCACGGATTTCTCAGAACTGCGGGATCGCTATGCTGAAGGCACTTGAAAGGGCCCCAAGTTCAAGCCCTTTCATAGTCGGCGGTTCTGACTGGTGGCCCCAAATCATGGGCCACCACAGGCAAGAACTGCACGCTTTGAGCAGCTGACCTGACCATATTTGGGTTGGTTGGTTTGTCTCCTTTCATGTCATCAAACACCTTCAAGCGAGTGGCCTCTGGACAGTAGACCCTCTGGGCATAAGTGACAAAGGTCAAAGATGAGGCCCTCAGAAACACACATGAGATCCTGAAAGCAGGCCTCAGTTCTTAAAAGATTCTAAAAATGGGGCTTCCCTGGTGGCGCAGTGGTTGAGAGTCCGCCTGCCGATGCAGGGGACACGGGTTCGTGCCCTGGTCTGGGGAGATCCCACATACCGCGGGGTGGCTGGGCCCGTGAGCCATGGCTGCTGAGCCTGCGCGTCCGGAGCCTGTGCTCCAAAACGGGAGAGGCCACAAAAGTGAGAGGCCCGCATACCGCAAAAAAAACACAAAAAAGATTCTAAAATTGTCTATTATCAGTATCAATCCTGTTACCAGGCTATTAAATCATCCCCAGGAGATGACGGTGCGCACCTCACCTGGGGAAATCGATTTGACAGGGTTCAAGGTTAGACAGAGGAAGACATACAGATAGCCTCCTACGGGAGGAGCGGGGTGGCAGTAGAAGTGCTCAAGCTCCCCCAGAGGGGACCAAGAGCTGGACCCAGAGCTGTAGGAAGGGGTGGATGACGGGGGCCCAGTTGCAGCAAGAGGCAGTTTGATGCTGAAGAGCAGTGCTGGGACTGAAGGGGAGACGGCTTGGTTTCCAGAGTCAGCTCCAGCCCTGGAAGTCAGCTCTCCCTGTGGGCCTCCCGCGAGGGCTCTGGACGACAGGCCTCTGCCTTCAACAGGCTCCAGGTCCCTTGACTGCTCTGCTTGTTCCACAAATGTGGCCCCCCAGACGCAGCCCAGGGACACCAGGCAAGCCTCCTGCCCCTTGCTCATTCCTGAGCCGGGCTCTCCCGTCCCTCCATCCTCTGGCTGCTCTAGCCCCCACCCAGCACAGCCCACCCACGCCCTGACTCACGCCCCGAGTCCCCACCTGAGTCTCTTACAGCTTCAGTGTCTACCTTCCCCTCCCACCTTCGTGCATATGGCTTCCTCTGCCTGCTCTATCCTGCCTGCTGGTCCAGATCCCTCTTCAAAGCTAACTCTTTTTATTGTTTTTTATTGGAGTATAGCTGCTTTACATTGTTGTGTTAGCTTCTGATGTACAGCAAAGTGAATCAGCTAAACATATACATACAGCCCTCGTTTTTGGATTTCCTTCCCATTTAGAAGGCTAACTCTTGATAGAGAACTTGATCTTGGGGCCTGGAGCATGTGCATGGAGACCTGCAGCGTGACATTGAACCTGGAGGGGTAAGAGAGCTCCAAAAGGGATCAGAGCAACTGTTTCTCACTGAATTAGCAGAAAAATAGCAGCAAAAGAAAAAAAGAAAAAGTGGCGAACTCATAGCAACTGTTCTAGATTCAGACCAACAGATTTGGTGCTCAGAAATGTGCCCATCACAACCTCCATACAACCAGCCAATCCTGAACTGTAAGTCAAGGACCTCCTTCAACCAACCGATCACTTTCACCCATGCAACTTTGTGGCTTTTGTCTTTATGAACCATACCCTTGCCCTTGGTCTGAGTATGATCTTCCAGGGGCTGCTCTCTCCACTGTGTGGCCAGGGCCAGCCTCCTAGCCTGTGAGCCAAGCACTCATACAGGGCCTGGTGCTCAGAAGGGCGCCACCCCTGGATTAATCTTAATCTCTCCTGTCGCCATCTTGAAACTCTTGACAATTTTTTAACACAGGGCTCCACATTTTCACTTTGCACTAGGTCCCACAAATTAGGTCTCCAGTCCTGTGTGTATCTCAAATATTATTCTCTTACAGTTAATGTAATGTTTTGGCTGCATCTCTTGGAGCCAAAACCCTATGTGTGGGCTCAGATTTTCCCTGCCTTGGTTAGCTATAAACTCAACACTAAGTCTCGTCTTTATCTACTTTTATATTCTTTTATCTCCAAAACTCCACCTTCTCAAAACTTTTCTGGCTACCCTGGCCCTCCTTTATCTCTGGGCAGCAAAGGCTCACAGCTGGGCTGCACAGCTTAGTACTGGCCTTCTCAATATATGAAGTGATTCACTCTTCCTGGCAGCTAGTTGGAAATATCTGTGAATATAGAAAACTACCTCTGCCCTCCCCACTTTCCTAGAAGCATGCAGGGCATACAGTGAACACTTAATAAATACCTGTTGAGGACTTCCCTGGTGGCGCAGTGGTTAAGAATCCACCTGCCAATGCAGGGGACACGGGTTCAAGCCCTGGTCTGGGAAGATCCCACATGCCACAGGGCAACTAAGCCCGTGCACCACAACTACTGGGCCTGCGCTCTAGAGCCCGTGAGCCATGACTACTGAGCCTGCGTGCCACAACTACTGAAGCCCATGCGCCTAGAGCCCGTGCTCCCCAGCAAAATAAGCCACCGCAATGAGAAGCCCGCGCACCACAACGAAGAGTAGCCCCCCTCTCGCCGCAAGTAGAGAAAGCCTGTGCGCAGCAACGAAGACCCAACGCAGCCAAAAATAATTAATTTAAAAAGATATTGTTTAAACACAGGCATTTACCTGTGTGAGTTATGAATGGACTGAAACCTCTTGTTCCTAATGTTTTCTGAACCCCAGCAAATGGAGCTGGGGGAACTTACACCCTGAATGAGAGGTGGACAGTGACATTTCAGCCAAGAACATATGTGAAGATGGAGCTCAGGGAGGGGGACCAGAGAGGAACAAAATTAAGCTTGAGTTTGTGGGGTTCCGGAGAGATCATGTGTTTTGTTTTGTTGTTTTGTTTTCTTTTATACTAAAGACAAAAACAAAAACACTTTGAGGTGTTCGGCCTGCAGGATAGACAACCAGAACTGGAGAATGACATATTCCATCCTGTAAAAGTCATTGCCTGTGTGACTCTAACATCCCTCACAAGGATGTGGAGAAAGACAGAGTGGGGTAGGACGTGAAACAAGTAACTGATCAACATGGAAGAAAACAGATCAAGACAACTGAGCATATAGTGATTTGGGGGAAATGCACAGTGTGGAGCCAAGCAGATAAGCAGGCAGCAGGGCTTTGTGGTGGCAGGTCAGTCCTATGGTCCCCACAGCCAGAGAGTCCCTGTATTGGCTCCCAGGAAAATGCAAATCACTTCTTCAAAGCCACTCTGTTAGGTAACAGTCTGTTAAAGGGATTGTTCCTACACGAAACTCAGGGAGTTCCACTTTTCTAGCTACCTCAAACCCAAATATTGGCCTTTGAAGAGTGTTGCCTTGAGAACCTGAATCAGACATTTTGATCTAAAGATAAAACTTGAAAATTGTACCTACTGTATTTTAAATGTTTGAATGGCAACCTCTAGAATCTAGACTCTAGAGATCATTAGAACTAAGAAGAAAACACAAATCTCTGCAATCCACCTACTTATTTTTCAAATTCAGCAGCCAGGATGGGGGGAATCAAATCAGTCGGGTTCATTTTCACTCTTCACAGGTTCATGTTCAACTTCCTTAAACTAACCTTGCATTTGTCTGGGGCCTCATCATCTCAGTAAAGAATCCAGTGTCCTCTGGAGCGTACATTATATATTTGTGGGGGCTTTTGCTTTCACCTCTAACAATTATGTTAGCTTATTTCAAATATTTCTTCTAAGAGCCCCTTCTCACAATTCCATCCAGGTCCAAATCAGAGGTTCACACCTACATCCGACACAGCAGGAGTCAAGTTCCCCTTAAGCTCAGCACAGAGTCCACCTGGACCTGGAAGCTGGCCCAGCACCAGCCCTCTAGAGGCCAGGTGATTTCCTGGGTGGTCCCCCAGGAAGATTAGCAGAGCCCAGGGACTGAAGCACTCAGGACTTATTTTTTCCTTCAGAACCAAAAAATCTACCACCAGTTTTATATGGAGGCTGGGGGGAGCTACTTAAGTTCTAAAAATAGAGATGTTAAAAGGTTTCTGTTTTAGTGATGCTTGTAAACCACACTGAACAGCCCTGTTTTATCAGAAAGAATTGTGCAAATGTGTCTTTTGAGGATACAGACCGCAGAGGAGGTCAATGATATGGCCACCTGCACTTGGGCCAGTGCTGCAACGAAGAGCTTTCCTGACTTTGCCAACAGACTATCTGGTGACTTTAGCTTATATATGGACCCATGAGGGCTTGAGTTTCCAAAGGAGGGCCCCAGAGGCCTTTCCATGGCAAAGCCTTTGGTATCTGGGCAGAAAGTTAGGATTGTGGTAGATTGGCTGGGTTTCTGCCACTCTCTACTCAGGTAGGAAGCTCTTTATAGCCTCACCCTAAAGGCAGGTCCTCAATCACAGTGTCACTGCAGGCTCCAGGCTGTCTCATCAGCCCAAAGTGTTGGCAGTTTGGCCTCTGATCCCATGACGACAGCTGGCATGCCTGCCCACTTCTCTGGCCAGAAACTAAACTCTCCCTGCAGTGGGGATGTAATCTCCAGCTGAGACAAAGTTCCCTTCTGCCAACACCTAACGATGACTACAGTATCTGCCTCTTTCTAGGGCACCTGACGTTTACATGAGAGGTTTCCTTTTTATATTTTCATTCCCCATCACCCTCCATTTTAATGCGTTTTTCAGGCAAGCAAGAAGCTGCTGA